TTATGTCGAAGTTCGTACCATTGTGATCTGCCCCATTTCATTGTTATAAAAAAACCGTTTCATCAACTCTGCTGACACACTGCTATCATGTTTATTTTTAGAGAGGAGATTGAGAAACAAAAATCTCATGAGCGCTATATGAAGCTTCAGGAGCAAGGGAAAACAGAACAGGCGAAGAAAGATTTGGGTGAGATTTTTCCCATGTTGTGCTTACCTATCTTCTCTTGGCGTCTCTTGGCCATGGTTATATATGTACACTTCACATTCACTGCTACAAGATTGGACTCATATAGAAACATACACCACAATAAGGAGAGTAGCGTTTTGTGAATGAACTGAGTGAATAGAGTATTGATATCAGCAGCAGTGAACTCACAGCTACTGCCCAATCATATATAATCATCAACTTTTTAAAGCCCTGCATACATTCAATATTGAAGCATTCGTGGAAGTTGCAGATTGCCATAACTATTGTTTTGCGAATGCAGAACGTCTTGCTTTAATAAGGCAGCAAAGAGCAGATGCTGCAAAGAAACGCGAAGAGGAGAAAGCTGGTATGCCCCTTGATATTTGTCTATTGTTCATGTTAAGCTCAGCATCATTGCCCTACATATCGTATTCACATAATCTTTGACCTCTACCTGTTTCATCAGTTTCCCATGCTGGAGTATTTGTTCCTTCGATATTTTTTGCTAAAAGGCATTTTAATACCTTTGAATAGCTCCAACTTCTTTATCTATAACGGGGTCTGCAGTTTGGGATTTGTGACGGAATAGGAGTTGTGAATGGTACTTAGTTCTGTATGGTTCAGAGGTAGGGAGGGAGCTGCACTTTTGAAAACTAGCATTGCATGCCATGATGGACAGAAAGCACACAGGGAGGAAGCTGAAGCGTCTGGTCACCATGTAATTTTTGCATTTAGTACCCTGACATTTTTTGCAGTCTCCATGACCAGACGATTCCACCCCTCTTCCCTTGTCTTCCTCAAGGTAGCAGCAGTCCTATATGGCTCAATCGAGTGTGAAAATTAGACAATTAGAACCCAACAAATAACCCCTGAATCAAGATGATACTAAGAAGAAATCTGCACGCTAGAGCTGTCATAGACCACCGAAGAGGGAGTCGCCTATGAACAACCGTCAATCACCTACCTTTCCAACAGTGATTCGCCTAGAACCTACTGTCATTACTACTATCAACGCACACATGAGTATCGGAGAGGGAGAGGCTAGCGCCATGATGCTCTGTTCGCATGCTGCCGTCGTCGCACCTAAGTCGCCGCTGCTATTGTGCACGAGATGTAGAGAGGGATTTGGGCCCTAGGATTGCATAAAGTGGAATTTCGGAAGCTAGGGATTTGGCGATTGGGGGGTTTTGGAGGTGGTGACGAAATTGGGAGCCTTTTGACAGGAATTGCATACATTTTGCTTTTTTTTCTCTGCAAATTAGCCAGGCCTGGAAGAGGCGTTGGCTTCCTCACACATGTGGTGTATGTGCACTTGGCAGCATGCCATTGTGGACGAGATTCTCTAACATTCCTCACTTCGGACTAAACTGATCCTGAAAGCCAAGTTTAGGGGTCACTTTTCTGCACTTTTTATCTTCACATGGACTAAACTGTACAGTGGCATTACCTCGTATTAGAATGCTTAATAATCTGGCTAGGTCATGAGCCACACACTTGTCTACCCAGTCCTTTTTTTTAGGAGAAATCACGTGTTCATTACCCGAGTTGTAAACACAGCATACATGCAGCACTCACTTGAAAGGGCCAGAAACACAGCAGAAAGGCCCCAAGAAAAATAAGTAAAGCCCGGGGGGCCAAAATGCAAAAACACCAACACTCCACGCTGATTCGTACCGCCGTCGGAGTGTCGTCAAGGAAGCGGACGAGTCGCCATCCAACCTCACTTGAAAGGGCCAGAAACACAGCAGAAAGGCCCCAAGAAAAATAAGTAAAGCCCGGGGGGCCAAAATGCAAAAACACCAACACTCCACGCTGATCCGTACCGCCGTCGGAGTGTCGTCAAGGAAGCGGATGAGTCGCCATCCAACCTTGAACCGGAGAGACGCCATTGCAGTCGAAGCCGCTTTGTGAGCCAAAGAAGCGGTCGGCCGGGGATCCTCCCCACGCTTGCCGGTCCTCGACTCCGTCGTCTCCGTCCGACCACGACGAAGGAGACCACCGAAGCCCCATGCCGCAGACCACAAACCCGACACCGAGCCTCGTCTTACCGCACGGGCCAACACCGCGTGTCGGCCAGATCTCCAATACACATCTGTCCCATCTTCGCTGACGGCGCCGGAGTAGGCAACACCTGAGCAAACGATCCCCGTCACCGCGCACGTGGCGGCGAGGTAGAACCTAAACTCACCGCCCAAACAGAGCGGCAGGAATCTACCCCAAAGGCTGATGAGACACCGTCGTCACCAGAGCGTTGCCTTGACCAAATCCTAAACCTAACCTATCTACACACTGGGAACGAAGCGCCGGGGTTCCCCTCCCCCCCGCCGCCAGAGGGAAGAGGAACTGCCGGGCTCTCCGGCTTTCGACGGTGGAAACGAAGCCTTCTCCCTCTTCACCTCTCGTGGGAGCAAGGGGAAAGGGGAAAGGCGGCTTGTTCCGGGTTGTGTGCTTCTGAGCTGACTTTCCGGTGTTGTCTACCCAGTTCTCAGGCTCAGGCCAGACATCAATTTTTCCTAGGCAGTGTAACACCAACCAAACTCTGAACGACTACCTGCCAAATAGTACTATGTGACCTTCGCATAACATCTATTGAAAAGTAGTTAGAAACGGTAATAGACTAATAAATATAGGCGAGTAGAATATTTTGGAGAGTCGTTTGGAGCACGGGGAGAAAAAGAAAGGGAATCTTTTGGGAGGCTCTCCATTTGTACCACGTCCTCCGTCCAGAATTAGTTGCCGTTCAAACGGAAGTCTAGATACATCCGTTTGAGTGGCAACTAATTCCGGACGGAGCGAGTACTTTGCACTAACATCATTTTGTCTCTTATGCGCAACAAAGTGTTCGTATTTTCATTTCCCTAAAATTTTGTAAACAGTATCACATTCTTTAGTTCGAGAATATTATGAGTTGCGCACTGAATCATATCCTGTTGTTTGCAGCTAAAGAACAGAGGAAGACCGAAGCGCGCAAATAACTGCCAAGGTGGTGGAGGCATGAGCTAAGCTGAGCTGTGTTGGCTGGATATTTATTTCTATGCATCTTAGTATATTTAAACCCTGGTCTCTATTCCATCATCTACATTTCCATAAAAACCGTGCATTGACAAGTGTAAAGTAGTCCTGTCGGCGTGGCTTGCTGTAAACTTGAGCTTGGCAGGGTACACATTTAGTGAGATCAGCTTATGTGAGATTTGCTTTCACTCAAAAATTGGTATGGAAAATAACTGTTGAAATTTGATGTGTTTGGAGGCCCGAGCTGATACGTGGCTGTATGAGCAGAAGCATATGTGATGTGATGTGATGGCAGGTGTGGTCAGCGCATTCATTAGGAGCATGTACAATGGTGCTATCTTAGGGGTGCCACATAGGATAAATGCTGAGATATAGGAGAGAGAAATCAAAAGAATAGACTTGTCTTCTCTTATCTAAGAGATGGCTTAGCACAATTTGTCTCACCATGTTTTAAGAAAATAGCTAGTTATTAAAGATAAAACAAAAATATAGCACATTGTAGACATATTCTTTTGTCATCTTAAAATTACATGCATGACTTGAGATAAGACACTACATGCCTTAGCATCTCAATTAACATCGCCAGTGCCGCAGCCAACGGGCAACCTCGTGCCACTGCTTCAAGTAAGGATGCTGCACGGACACTACATGCCTTAACATCTCATTTTTCCATGCATAAATTTTTTTCTTCTCATTTTTGACCCAAATACAACAAATAGGAGACCATTTTGATTTATGTATTTATATGTTTTGATACGCCACATATGAAAATATATATTGACGACAATAATTCATAACCACATACTACACGTGTATTTGTTTTCAGAAAATTTGGAGGTATACGAAATAATATTTTTGAAAAGAATAGTGTTTACTGGAGTATATATATTTGTGAATCTGTCCTCCAAATCTTAGTTTCAGCACGGAGTATGGCATTTTGAAGCTCCTATTTTCTTTAAAAAAAATGTATTTTCAAGAATTCTGAAAAAAATCAACATGTGTAAAATTTACATGCAATACGTACGAGGTAACCAAAAATAACAAAATCATTAAACTTCACATGTGTTTTTTTTCTATAGCTCACATGGATTTCATCGTAAACTTTACAAACATGTACTTGAATACATCTATATGCACATGTGGATTGTTTTCAAATTTTTTGAAACTTGAAAATTTTGATTTTCGATTTATAGAACTCCAAACGAATTAGGTGCACATTTGAAATAACTTTCCAATGATACAGTTTTTATGACATATAATCCATATTTTGTTGACCAAAATTACAAGTGAAAGTTTGACATAAAAAAGGAATGAAGGGAGTAGCAAAAATGAAACATCATAATTCATTGTAATGACAAACATAGTAACAACATTGTCAGAGTGAATGCTATAGTTAGCGTGAGATTTTATTTGCTTTAATTTCTCACAAGACGTTTCCAAATGTGTCAACAAAAGCAGCCAATTCAACCAGACTACCTTCTCAAACTGCCAAAAGAGCACTATACCCTTGCAGGGTAATATTTGTGTGTTCCCAAAATTCACTATAAAGAAAAGCTATAGATAGCTACAATGCTATACCTTCACGAGGTAATTCTAACTCAAACCCACTCTGTTTTGTTACAACAGCAGCTCAACCTTGGGCTTATTCATCGCTAGCGTCCTACGAAACAATCCTCCCACTGCTGTGTGTAGAAACTGGATGGACCTTGTATGCAAAAACCAGACATGAATTTTGGAGGATAGCACAATACTAGCGGTGGCTTCAGCAGTACTAGGTAGATGTCACTGGAAGTTTGGAACTTCACTGCATGATTTTGTTTTTCATCATCTTGCGTTTGTTGGCGTCCAGATATTTCTTCCTAAGCCGTATGACCTTGGGAGTAACCTGATCAGGTTCAAATGCCAACAACTCAATATAAAGCAGCATAATATAAAAATTTGCTTTCAGGATGAAACTGGAATAATAGTGCACAAATGGAAAACCAGCTAGACAATAACTCATTTTCTTTAAGAAACAGATTGGTATATTGTTATCCCAACTAAAACCATATTTTCTGTTTGGATTAATCAGCACCCCAACACATTAGCAGAATTATTTTGGATTTCAATGCCCCCACACTGACTCGCCAATATTGTATAATATACAAACTATATTTTCTTACATTTTTTAGGTACACAAAGTATAGTTCCCTGATTCAATAGAAAGTTACTTTTAAAACATGCTCCCAGACTACTTTGTAAGTAGGTACAGATTTTTAGGTCGTCAATTTGACTAACAAAACATATGTAATATGCCAACAACAACAAAGCCTCTAGTCACAAACAAGTTGTGCTAGGCTAGAGATGAAACCCACAAGGCCTCGCGACCAACTCATGGTTATGGCACATGGATAGCAAGCTTCCACGCACCCCTATCCATGGCTAGTTATTTGGTGATGCTTCAGTCCTTCAGATCTCTCTTTACGGACTCCTCCCAAGTAGGGGTGGCCATAAAAACTGACAAACCGAACACCAAACCGATACCAAAACCGAAAAAACTGAATTTTTGGTTTTTGATGCTGCTATATTCAAATTTGGTTTCTATGTTTAATAACCGAAGTAAAATCGGTCGGTTCGATAGTTAACCGATAACCGAAGGAAAAAACCTAAGTGCACGCAATTCTAGTACAGGCCTCCCGCGCGGCCGCACATCTCACCAAATGCCAAGCCGAACTCCACGTAATTCCAATGCGAGGCACCCCCACGTCCGCACGTCTCGCTAGATTTTTCTTTTGAGACAGCACCTCTCGCATGCAACTGCTCAGGGCAGCGCGCGTGCATGCAGCCACATAGCGTAAGAAGGCCCAGCTGGTGTGATTTGGCCCGTTTACTTAATTGCATGGCCCAAATAGTATTTGCTTTGGCTGATAGAGTGTGCAGCGGGTGGAGTGTTATTTATTTAGTCCCACATCGGTTAGCTACACTTCAGGGACAAGGTGACCAGCTCCTGGATGAAGCGCTCGCTGTAGCTTCTCAGCAACGCTGCAATCAGTCGGTTTAAACTGAAAACCGAACCGAATTGGTCGGTTAACCGAATTTTCGGTTAGTTGTTTTTGACTGTTATTTTTGGTTTTTGATTTTGTTATCCGAAATTAAGAATTAACCGAACGGTATAAACCGAACTTTCGGTTTGTACCGAATGCCCACCCCTGCTCCCAAGTCAAGCATGGTCTACCACTAACTCTCTTGACATTATCAGCACGCTTTAGCCGCCCGCTATGCACGGGAGCTTCTGGAGGCATGCGCTGAATATGCCCAAACCATCTCAGACGATGTTGGACAAGCTTCTCATCAATCGGTGCTAGCCCAACTCTATCTTGTATATCATCATTCCAGACTTGGTCCTTCCTCGTGTGGCCACACATCCATCTCAACATGCGCATCTCAGCCACATTTAACTGTTGAACATGTCGTCTTTTAGTTGACCAACACTCAGCACCATACAACATTGCAGGTCGAAGCGTCGTCCTATAGAACTTGCCTTTTAGCTTTTGTGGCACTCTCTTGTCACAGAGAATGCAAGAAGCTTGGCACCACTTCATTCATCCCGCTTTGATTCGATGGTTCACATCTTCATCAATATCCCATCCTTCTACAACATTGGCCCCAAATATCAGAAGGTGTCCTTCTGAGGCACCACCTGCCCATCAAGGCTAACCTCCTCCAACTCCTCCTGACTAGTAGTACTGAAACCGCACCTCGTGTACTCGGTTTTAGTTCTACTAAGTCTAAAACCTTTCGATTCCAAGGTTTATCTCGATAGCTCTAACTTCCTATTGACCCCCGTCCGACTATCATCGACTAGCACCACATCACCCGCAAAGAACGTACACCATGGGATATCTCCTTGTATATCCCTTGGGAGTTGGGACCTCATATGTTACATACAGAACATATGTAATATGCCACAAAAAGTATATACATTTAAAACTTCATTGGACGGCGAATCCACAACAACGGAGCCTTTAAGAGTTTTAGTCCCAAACAAGTTCGGGTAGGCTAGAGTTGAAAACCCATAAGATCTCGAAACCTAGTCATGGTTCTGGCACGTGGATAGCTAACTTCCACATATCACTGTCCATGGCTAGTTCTTTGGTGATATTCCTGTCCTTCAAGTCTCTCTTTACGGACCTCTCTTGACATGTCAAGTTTGTTCTACCTCGACATCTCTTAACATTATTAGAACGCTTTATCCTTCCGCCTATGCTCATGCCTAGTAGTACTAAAACTGCACCTCATGTACTCGGTTTTAGTTCAACTAAGCCTAAAACTTTTGATTCTTTCTATTAACCCCGTCTGACTATCGCCAACTAACAGCACATCACCCGCAAAGACCATGTGATATCCCCTTGTATATCCCTTATGACATCACTCATCACCAAAGCAAAATGTTAAGGGCTCAAGCTGACCCTTGGTGCAATCCTATTTTAATTGGAAAGTCATCAGTGTCGCAGCATTATCGTACATTTCCTTGATGAGGGTAATGTACTTTGTTGGGGCTTTGTGTTTCTCCGAGGCCCATCACATGACAGTCTGCGGTATCTTATCGCAGGCCTTTTCCAAGTCAATGAACACCATACGAAGGTCCTTCCTGTCCATAAGTTGTCGTACCAAGAAAATAGCTTCCATGGTTGACCTCCAAGACATGAAACCAAACTGATTTTTGGTCACACTTCATTGTATGGCTCACCTGCTTAATTCCATGGTAATCAATACAACTTTGAACATCCCTCTTATTCTTGAAGACTGGTACAGTATAATCTGCCTTCATTCTTCAGGCATCTTCTTTGACCAAAAAATGAGGCTGAAAATCAGGGTTCATCTTTTTTAAAGCCTCCCTAACCTCAAGACTCTACTCATGTATTCACCAAACAAAACGTTTGTTGGTATCATCAAAGGAGTCGTCCAACTCAATGGCAGAGCTCTAATTCTAACAATTGGACAGATTGTTGAAGTATTGTTGCCATCTACTCCCCCCCCCCTCCGGGTTTTAAATACAAGGCCACTATAAGAAAATACAATTTGCATCTATGCAATGTCAATATCTCTTCCCGGGACGAATTGATAAGATTTTTGCCTCGTACGATGGTGCTTATTAATGCAAAAGTTGCATGCAGCCATAGAGGAGGCGCCACATACAACATGTTTAATTAGTCCAAAACACGAGAGGTTTTCACACAATTAATCATGCTATTTATTAATTGGCTTTTTTTTGGTACCTGAAAAATGGGATAGTGGCCTTGTATACAAACACAAAGGGATTTGACTTGGTTGACATCGCTCGTCTTCCTCTCACGGATCCTGGCCATCTTATAGATGCCCCTTTCCCCTTCCCTCGTGTTTAAAAGTTGGTAGAGGTCCTCATACGCCCAACCCCTTGCTTCATTCACGCCGATAGAGGTCCTTCTGGAATCATCGTTCCACCACTAGGTATCTTTAGCTTTGCTTTTACTTCCCCTGGTCACCCCAAATTCTCTGAAGCCACCTTCTGAACACAACTCACCATCTTCATCCACATATTGTTTGCATCACCTCCTTCCTCCCAAGAGCCCTCCTTAATAGCCCTCTCCTTGAAAGCCCGAGTTGCCTCCCCCAGAGCTTCCACCACCTTGTTCTAGCGATTTGACGCGCTTATCCTGCTAGACGTGTATCCGAAAGTGGAAGTCAGCCACCACAAGCTTATGTTGAGGGACAACACTCTCCAGGTATCACCTTACAATCTAGGCAAGCACGTCTGTCTTCTCTTCTCAGGAGGACGAAATCAATTTGGCTAGAGTATCGACTAATACTAAAAATCGTTGGATGGGATTCTCTCTTTTTATAGAGGGTGTTAGCTACGATCATGTCATAGGCTAAAGCAAAGCTTAAGACATCCTCTCTTTTTTATTCCTATTGCCATAACCAAAAATCCCATGAAACCCTTCAAAACCTGTGTTAGACAACGTGGCCATTGAGGTCTCCTCCTATGAAGAGCGTTTTGCCAATAGGTACACTCCTAACCATGTCCTTCAGGCCTTCCCACGTGCTCTCATTTTGGCCTACTTGTGGGGCATACTCGCTGATAATACTGAGAACTAAGTTCCCAATGACGAGCTTGATCAGGATGATCAGGTCCCCTTGCCTCTTGACGTCTACCACACTATACTTGTGGCTCTTGTTGATCAAGATGCCTACTGCATTTAGTTGTCCCTGTGTACCACAACTTGAAGCCGATATCCTCCACCTCCTTCGCCTTATATCTCTTTCATTGGGTTTCTTGGATACATAGGATATCAACACCATTTGGTTTCTTGGACACAAAGGATATCAACGCCTGCCCTACCGCTGCAATGCTGCATCAACTAACTCCCGTAACTTATTCGTCAAGGACCCTACGTTCCAACTACCTAAGCGAATTCTAGTTGGCTCAGCTAGCTTCCTTACCCTTCGCACTCGTCGAGTCAACTGCGAAGATCCCTGCTCACTTTTCACTACACCCAAGCGTTGATGTAGAGCATCACTAAGGATGTGACGAGCCGATCCTTCCTTACTTATCACCATATCCAGGTCAAGATAGAGCTATGTTGAGACCATGAATCTAAAGATAAATTTTTTACGGCATATAACCCATGTTTCGCTAGTCAAATTGAAGATTTATAAACCCAAGCCCGACTTATAAACCTGGATAGAGGCAGTAATACCAAACTGCATGGCAAATGATTATGGCTTACTCTTATCCGGAAGAAATAACACTGCATACCGATCTTTATTTGGTTTTAGACTCTAGAGTTCATCTTTAAAGTATCGACATTTTATTTTGACAGAAGTTCTCATGTAATCATTAAAAATCAAATATAACCAACTAAGTATCTATTTTTCTAACTTCAATGAAACAGGAATTGGAACAATGCTTCAGAGTCTAGAAGAATCAATTGTTTATCACCATTTACCACACTCAATCCTCAGAGTGAAAATTTTGCTCTAATTAAATGTTTGAAGAACTTAAGAAAAAAACTTGCCTCAATAAGCTCATCTACAGCAACATATCCAATTGCCTCTTCCAAAGTCATCTGCATGGTTCAACAGCTTCCATTAAGATTATGCAATAGTTAAGAGTCACTGTGTTTGGTTAGATGAGCCCAAAAGAAGGAATGCTACATTTCTTCATCAAAATAATGCGCATATCTAAAGTTATCCATCCTCGGCAAAAACCAAGAAAAGTGTGGCCATGATGTTCTAGGTCCAAAAAGGGCCCTTGATGGTTGTCAATTAGGTCTTGTAGTATGTTGTGTCAATATCCCACACACACACACGCGCACGCGCACACACAAAGTGCAGATATCTCATGATGTCTTGGTACATGAGCAAAGGACATACCAAGCGAGGTGGAGACAGGCGGATATTTTCATCCTTTCCAGGAGCTCGGATGTTTGTAAGTTCTTTAGTTCTCACAGGATTGATCTGCCCAAAAACATTAGTTTCATGTATTAACGGACAGGAACTGATTCATGCTAAGTAAATAATCAAGTTACCTCAAGATCACTATCACGTGAATGCTCGCCAACTATCATGCCTTCGTATGTCTTTCAACAAGGAAGAAAGAGAATTAAGGTAATCTCCTGCACCTAGAAGGTACTATAACAAAATGAAGTGATAGCTACCTCCATCCCAGGAGAGACAAAAAGAGTACCACGAGCTTCTAAACTCATGAGTGCATGTGAAGTGATAAATCCTCTGCCAACAGATACCTATATATGAACATGGAGAAAAATTAACTTCCACTTGTAGAGTTCAGAAGCACATAGGTATTGTTCAAAAGTACTGATTCTATTTACTTAAGTTATGCTTGCTTCTTTGCTCAAATCAGTATTAATACCTTATTGCAATGTAAAATATAATTTACAAGATAAGCAAATAAGAGTAACATAAGAATATAAGATTATGAAGGTGCTGAAATTTGATTTACCAGAACTCCTTTTCTAACAGTGCCTAGTGGACCTCTGTATTTAGCATATGCTGCATTCATAGGGAAACCATCGGTCAGATAACAATGAAGTCTTAGTTACATGTATTTAGCATATGCTGCATTCATTGGGAAATCATAGGTCAAGAATTCCTGAAATCTAGTTAGGCATGCAACGCAAATAAACTGCTGCATTTTGATGCAGTAATGCACTAATTTTCTTGTGTCATAGCATAAATTTTATTTTGATGGTCTGTGGCAACCGTGTGCACATGCATAGCCTGAAAACTGGAGGATCGTTGACATCTAGCTAAAGTAAACAGCACAAGGCGGTAATAATACTTTCAGAACGGGCTGTGATCCTTTGACTAATGCAGTTGAAAGAAAATCGAAGACTAACAGCACTAACAGCAAAGTCTGCACAGATCACTACATAATTTGCCTCTACACTGGGAAGACGAGAATCTGGTTTTGACAATTGTCTATGCACTTCAAGTCTATGAATTCATGACATGACTATGTGGCCTACTATTCACCTAAAAACAACATGTGTGAGTTACAGACTGCAACCATTATGTAGCACCGAATTATAAATAGCATCATACCCTGGAAAGCACGGTGCATAAATCCAGTTCCACGTGTAAAGCTGTTGAAAACTCCTTTAACACCCACCAAACCCCTGCATCCATAATAGCTCATTTGATATTATCTGAACCAAAACCATAAATGCATATTACATCGAGTAAGGAATCGGTAGATTCCAAAATTAGGTTCATTTGATTTTACAGTAAATTCTACCGGGGGCATATCCATGAGGTAAACAGGCAATATACAAATACGAAAACAAACATAATTGGCTAAAATTATAGAAGTAAAAGGTGAAATATAACTATATTAAGGTACAAATGGCTAACCAGTCAGCAAGTATTGCATGCTTTTCAAGGTGACAAGTGATGCAACTAGTAATCAGGAGAACAGAGACCACTACTGACCTAGATGGACAGGTCATGAAGACCCGAGTTCTTCCAGTTGTCCCAGGAACAGGGCCCATGTCCAACAATTCCCCCTTCCTGTTGTTAAGGGTTTCCAACACAAATCCGATATGCTCCTCGTCCACCTACAATATCCAATACATAAATTGAAAATATAAGATTAGAACATGTGAAGATAAAGAAGCTCAAACATAGCTTTCCTGATTGCTACCTCGACAGTTACTTCTTCAATAGGCTCTAGTCTTTCCCCACGCTCTGTTTTATACCTAATTTCCATAAAGAAACTGGTCAAGCTCATAGTGGACAAAGTGCAGTCAAATTGCTCAAAGAGTTACACGTATTAGAAAGGAAGGAGTGAATATGATCAATAAAAGAAACAAATATGAACGTCTAGCTAAAGAATAGAGATGGTTAGCTTGCCACAAAAGAGTTTGCATGCAAATGAGACATAATAATGTTTGTGATTGATTGGAACTCACATCACTCTTGGGGGTGAAACTGAAAGCTCAAATCCTTCACGCCGCATGTTCTCAATTAAGATTCCTGTAAGTTAGACAGATCATCCTATGATGTTGATGACTAAATTTCTCATTGTATCACAAAAAATTGGCATGAGGCACTTCTAAATGAGTTGAATAAAATTTCAGTTAGAACAGGAGGGATTTCGTCAAAGTTTCAGACCTAACTGAAGCTCTCCCCTTCCTTGAACTTCATAAGATTCTGACAATGGTCCAGGAAGAACATTAATTGCCAAGTTTGTTTCGGCCTCTGCCATCAAACGGTTCCCAATTTTCGCTCCAGTTACCTGCAAAATTTTAAAATCAAGCAAAGTCGGACAAGTTCAGATATTGCAAATTATACACTAAAATATCAACCAGCAAATTGACAGATTATGCTCCAACGAGTTCATTTTAGTTGGCACCGGCAACATGTGAAGTTAATCTATAGAAGCGCTATAAGATCTTATGTCGTTTAAGCAATGACAAGTCCTCACAAAATTCCACATATGATGATGTAAAATGGCGTAATCAGAATTCATAAATACGTTGGTGTAAGTTTGTTATGTTAAACATTAGAAAATGCCAAAGGAACTTCACAATTAATCTATCATGGTGCATACTGCAAAAAAAACTTACATTGCATAGGATAGTAGGAGGCTAGCACCATACCTTGGATTTAGCCCCCCACATATTTAATGATAATAGATTGAACACTAGAGATCTACTAAACAGGAAGAATTTCTACATAGAGACAAGTGTGAGTTATGTGATGATGAACCTAATGAACATCTAATGCACCTATTTTTTAGCTGTGATTTCAGCCAAAACTTCTGGATGAACATTGGCTACCAATGGGACACTGATTATAACCTGATGGAAATGCTCTTGGAGGGTAGGAAACAAGATACTTATGGATGTTTTAAAGAGTGCCTAATTGCTGGTTGCTGGAGTTTATGGAAGCACAGAAATAGCATCATTTTCGATCACAAGGTCAAGAATATGGCATACTGTATAGCCATGTTCAAGAAGCACTTCAGCATGATCATAAAGAAGGCAAAACCTGGTTTGAAGGAGGGCATGCAAAGCTTGCTAGACCATTTGTAGATTTTCTATTCTACTTTCTTACATGATCCATCCTGTACATCCATTTGTAACTGTCCCATTTTATAAATGAAAATGAGAATTACAGTGGGGGCCTTCCCCACTGTTTGTTGCTCAAAAAAACATATTTAATGATAGTAGGAGACTAGCTCCTTACTCTCACCTACCAATTTAGAAGCACATTCATTCAGAAGACTAACTGACAATAGATTTGGGAAATTTTGATGATTCTAGAACAAATTCATCATCCATCATATACTGGAGGTCAGCCTTTTCCATCTACTCATGATTTGTAATTGAGCAATGGGTTGTCAACGACATCAAGTTATGTAACTAATTATAAAGTTACACCTGGCCAAATGCTATGCTTCTATTTTCCCCAAAAAGTCAAAGGTCAAACAGAGAATATTTTTAGTGTAAATACACCAAACAAATCAAATCCAACCTGAAATATCAAGATATATTTTCAAAACCTGCATATGAAATCTACCTACTGACCAAAATAGTTGTGTAATGTGTAGAGTACACTATCATGGTTCCACGACAATTAACAGCTATTAAGGGATTTCTGAACTCTATATGAAATTGCAAGCCAACAATTAACCATACATGATCAGGCACGATAAATTTCACAGCATCATTTATCATGTCTTGACATTTATAATTGTTTTGCATGTAGCATACAAAATAAGAACTGGTTGCCAAGCACTCCTGTTCTGACATGTGTAGACACCTTTTTTGTTCCACTCAGTCAAATAGGAGTCGCTCAGGTTTGCTCAGATGGAAAGAGGATCAAGATGAATCATTTACACCGAAAGTGGTGAACTGTTATTTGGTACTTACATGAGTGCCATCACGGCCAGCCAGTGGTGAATCATTCACACCGAAAGTCATAGAAATTGTGGGAGGGTCCAACTCAACTGCAGGCAGAGCAGTCAAAACCTACACACAATTACATTCACATATGAAAATAAAGAATTGCTGACAATTGAAAAGGAGAATACATTCTGTACAGCAACAAGTAGCCAATCAAAACATGTTACCCCTACCTCCGGATTTGCCACGGTGTGTCCAATTGCTGGACCAGACAATCCAGCCATTGAGATTATATCACCAGCTCCTGCAGCCTCTATTACTGCCATGCTTGTGCCTTTCTTTTTCATGAGCTTGACAACCTAAATTTATTTTGTAACATACAAAGGTCGTTAAAGCTTTTAATAAACCCAATTGGCAAACACATATTGAACAGTAAAGAATAGGTTCAGCATCAAAGAAAAAAGGTGCAAGAAGTTCGGTCACACCTTTCCATCCTCAATCTTCTGAACCCCTTCATCCGTGATGCGCAGACCATGAACTTTGTCGCCAACACGGATAACTCCAGAGGTTACACGCCCAGTGAGTATTCTTCCTAGGTAAAAATCACGCTCCATCATGGAAACCTGTACAGGACCGTTACAAACTTATTTGAGTTTACATTTCAAAACATAGATGAATGCAGATGGAGCATCCTATTTAAACTCCTCTGTTTCGAAATAAGGGGGATTCACGCTCAAGGAGCATTATAGAAAAGTAATTACTGTAAGGATATAAAGGAATTGTCTGTAGAACATAAAATGCGATATGTTGAAACAAGAAAAATCCATACAATGATTTATATTGTGGAAATTCCTTACCAATGGCTAAGAAAAAAAATGCAACTCACTTGGAATAAAATACTTGACTACTTCTTTCAGACCAATACATATGCAATTTCATTCAATTCTGACAGATAACTCAAAGAATTAAAAATATACTGTAGTAGTTTAATTGTTAGCCATTTACAGATGTCTCAGAGTATGCAAGCAACGAGGATAGCTGCAAGTTAGGACAGTGCTTGGTAGCTGGTATACACATCGGCAGTGTGGTGCTCTTCCAGACAGATGTTAGCCTGGCTGGAACTTACAGCATATTCCCATAGTGTTATGTGTAAGGAAATGGACTTTTAGTTATTCCAATGGACCAAACATATACATGTACTAGGCAACAGTATAGTAACTAATACCTACAGACCAACTAATATGCTCGGCTACCATACATCTAACATAATCAAATGTGATTTTATCATGGTTAATGTGACAAACTCTTGTATCAAAGAAAGATGAAACCGCATACATAACAGCTCGAGCCATGTTGTTATGATCATGGGACGAAAAATGTTCTTGCCAACTATCCATGAAAATATGAACTGGGCCAAAGAAATCACAAGAAATGTAGACATCCAAAATATGACTCGGTGAAAGACTGAAAGTTGATATCATACTGCAAAAGGTAGTGAAACAAATTGATACCATTCCTCAATAACGAGGACTAAATTCAGACACCATCTTAGGAGATGTACTAAGAGGGGGAAAAACTATCAACATGGAAGCATGGACAATAAGCTAAAAGCCCCATTTCAACCACTACTCAACATTCCATTATTAATGTTGAACCATCCAAGATTTTTTTGCTCGCTGAACAAAGCAAGGACCAAACAGAAAAGGAATAAAGAAGTACATATCAAGCACCTTTCATATTGATGCCTTCAGCACATTCATTCTTAAAAGCAAGAAACAATAGGGGATAATCCTCTTGCAAATTTTACTAAAAAGGTAGGTGAATGCGCGCAACAACATTATCATGGTTGCTGCAGCATGCGTGGATGCCTCATGATTGTACCTAAGCCATATCTAGGTTAGCTTACGAGGCTAACCTGTATCACCCCATACATAGCTGACTTGAGAATAAAATCAGCATGTTTCAAGATTGTATCAGATGTGCTAGCAAAGCACAATTAGCTTATCCATCATGGCTGGCCTTGCTTAACCAGGTGTATTGGATTGAACTGAGTGGAGACTGTATCCAGTTTGGATATTTTTCAAGGTGTTATATAATTTGTCTTGGAGCTATTTTACTCCGGTCTAATTAAGATGCATAACCACTTTCCAAAATGGTACAGCTAAGACACATACTGAACATCTTGCCGTCTACAGGAGCTCAAATAAATAAATTCCATGAAAAGAATGCTGTACGGGTCATTAGTGGTGGACCAAGAACTATGGCGGCATCAAGTCATGTGAAGCCAGAAGAAATAAAGTACTCCCTGATATGGAGAACTCATTTAAAGCCAGAAGAAACACATCTAGATACATTCGTTTGAGCGACAAGTAATATGGATCTGAGGGAGTGCAGACATCGGAGACACGTTGTTTTGCTTTGTAAGTAGAAGGGCAAACCAATTGATAGTAGTTCTTCGAAGCTAACACTATACGTCGTAAAGCAATTAAGGTAGGAATCATGTTGTAGTTGCTAATTTGAAGCAGCACAAAGGTTGTGGAGGAGCAACTCCACCTTGCTGCTATAATGTGTACAGCACAAGTGTTGAAGGAACAGCTTCAACGTGCTGCGCTAGATATCGCTCTAGTGGCGAATGTAGGTTGATAGGGCAGCAAGAGTTCAATCCAGAACTCCTAGGGGGCAAGATCTACTCCAAGATCTTAGATAAGAACAACAAGTTCTATTATGGGTAGGGGTACATAGTCTGGGTCCAAAGTAGAGGTGAGGACCTCTATTTATAGGGCTTTGGGAAGCCTTCACATACTTCTACTTATAGCTGGAATACTCTAGAAACATTATTTAAGGTTCACCATTCTACTCATAGCTACTCACAACTAGAAGACTCTAGAAAACAGTAGGTAGGATAAAGAAAAGAAAAGAAATACTAGACCACAACAGAAGTATCTAGAAGTAGCCAAACAGATTTGACATATGATTATAATTTTCATGTTCCTCATCTACTGTTCCTCATCATTCTCCCCTGGTTGTTTGGAACTCGCCCTCGAGTTATCTTCATAGAGCGCTTCTTCTGGATGGTAGAGAGTCAAGTCCGCAACATTGGAAGTGTTGGAGATACCCATATCGCTTGGAAGATCTATCACATAAGCATTATCATTTATCTTCCTCATGATAGAGAAGGGCCCATACCTTCGCTGCCTAAGTTTCCCTTTAACACCTAAAGGCAGCCTCTCTTTTCGAAGGTAGACCATCACCTTATCACCGGCTTGGAATGATTTTAGCCTCCTTTTGCAATCAGCAAGTTATTTATATTTCTGATTTTGTGCTTCCAAAGCACCGCGAATCTCTTCAAATAACTCGGTGTAATTATCAGCAAAGGACAATGCTGATTTTGAGTTTCTACTTGATGGTAGCTTCACCAGGTCCACCACATGTGATGGAACTTTAGTGTAGACAATGGAAAAAGGGCTCCTTCCTGTGGATCTATGCTTGGAGTTATTGTAGGAGAATTCTGCAAGAGATAAAGCCAAATCCCACTGTCCCTTTCTTTCTCCACAAATGCAACGGATCAGATTACCCAAAAACTTGTTCACCACTTCCGTTTGTCCATCTGTTTGTGGATGAGCAGTGCTAGAAAATTTCAATTCAGTGTTGAATTGCTTCCACAAAGTGAGCCAAAATGCAGCAAGAAACTTGCTATCACGGTCTGAGACGATGGACCTTGGTACTCCATGAAGTCTGACCACTTCTCGAAAGAATAGGTTTGCCACATGATGAGCATCCGTTGTTTTGCGGCATGGGATGAAATGAGCCATCTTAGAGAATCTATCCACGACCACAAATACAACATCACTTCCTCGTCTTGTTCTTGGCAAGCCCAAGACGAAGTCCATAGAAATGTCCTCCCATGGAGCGACAGGAACAGGCAAAGGCATGTATAACCTGTGTTCTGGACTTGGCCTTTGCAGGTCTGACATACGGGGCACCGTTGAACGAACTTTCCAGCATCTCTCTTTAGTTGTGGCCAAAAGTAGCGAGCTTCCAGGTTAGCGATAGTCTTGTCCCGTCCAACATGGCCACTAAGATCACTTGAATGGAGCTCTCTAACCAGCTTGTCACGTAGAGAACTTCTTGGAATGCACAAACGATAATTTTTGAAGAGATATCCATCTTGCATCAAATAGTCATCACCTAATGGTTGGCCCCTTGCGTGCTTTACCCAAACATGGCCAAAGTCTTCGTCACCCTCATACAACTCCTTTATTTGATCCATGCCCGGAAGTTCAGCTTCAAAAGAAGTCAAGAGGCATGCACGACGACTCAAAGCATCGGCCACTCTGTTAGTTATTCCAGATTTATGCATGATGAGATAGTTAAATCTCTCCAGATATGCTGCCCATCTTGCTAGCATGCGGTCAACATGCCTTCGATTTCTAAAATGCTTCAAGGATTGATGGTCGCTATAAACAATGAACTCTTTAGGCAGCAAATAGACTTCCCAAATTTTCAACGCTCTGAAAACGGCGTATAATTCTTGCTGATAGGTACTCCATTTCTGTCTAGCTTCACTTAACTTCTCACTAAAGAAAGCAATGGGGTTCCTTTCTTGAGATAGGACAGCTCCAATGCCTACTCCACTTGCATCACACTCCAACTCAAAAGTCTTGTTGAAATCAGGTAGTACCAAGACAGGAGCTTGTGATAGCTTTTGTTTAATCTCATTGAAGCTAGCTTCAGTTGCTTCTGCCCATTGGAACTTTCCTTTCTTCAAACACTCGGTAATTGGTGCCATGATAGTGCTGAAATTCTTAACAAATCGCCTATAGAAAGTTGCAAGGCCATGAAAGCTTCTTACCTCAGAAATGGTCTTAGGAGTTGGCCATTCTCGGATTGCTTCAACCTTAGAATCATCAACACGAATGCCGTCACATGTTATGACGAATCCTAGGAAAAGAAGTTGTGTTTGCAGGAAAACACATTTCTTCAAGTTGACGTAGAGCTCATTTTTCCTTAGTACTTCTAGCACCTTCCGAATGTGATCAAAGTGTCCATCCTCATCCTTGCTATAGATCAAGATGTCATCGAAATAGACCACAACAAAGTGGGATAAGAAGGGTCTAAGGACTTGATTCATTAAGTGCATAAAGGTACTTGGTGCATTTGAGAGTCCAAATGGCATGACTAGCCATTCAAACAACCCTTCCTTTGTCTTGAAGGCGATCTTCCATTCATCCCCGGGTCTTGTACGGATTTGATGATATCCACTTCTTAAATCTAGCTTTGTGAACACTCTTGCTCCACTAAGCTGATCCAACATACCATCCAGACGGGGAATAGGGAATCTATACCTTACGGTGATCTTGTTAACGGCTCTACTGTCTGTACACATGCGCCAAGATCCATCTTTCTTTGGCGCGAGTAGGGCCGGTACAGCACATGGGCTAATACTTTCTCGAATGTGCCCCTTTTGCAACAATTCCTCCACTTTCTCCTTCAATATATCATGCTCCTTTGGGCTCATTCGATAGTGTGGAAGATTAGGAAGACTTGCTCCCGGAATTAAGTCAATTCTATGTTGAATTCCTCTCATCGGTGGCAAGCCATGTGGCTCCCCAAGTATGTTCTGAAATTCTGCCAATAAACCACGTACCTTTGCTGGAATTTCAACAGTCAGGTGCTCTTCTCCCTTTACAACAAGTGCAGCACACAAATCTGCCTCCTTCAAGTCTTCCATAAACTCATGAGAGGTATGGGAGATAGTTAACATAGTTTTCCCCTCCTTAGAGGTATTACCTTCGGTTTTGTTTGGTAAGATAATGATCCTTCTCTTGTTCCAAATGAAAGAGTAAGAATTTTCCTTGCCCTTGTGTGTAGTATCCACATCAAATTGCCAAGGCCTCCCAAGAAGAACATGGCTGGCATCCATGTCAACCACATCACACAACACATTTGAGCGATAATGCTTACCCAAAGAAAGTGGCAGGTTGCATTGTTTGGTGATCCTCATATTCACTCCTTTCTCGATCCATCCAATAGTGTAGGGATTTGGATGATCATGGGTTTCAAGCTTTAAATGGTCCACCAACTTCTGGGAGATAAGATTCTCGCAGCTGCAACTATCAATCACTAGTTTGCATACCTTGCCATTCACCGTGCATTTGCTCTCAAATATTTTCTTCCGTTGTGTGTCATCGAGTTGTGGTGTGGAACATAGGACACGCTGGATCACACATACCACCTCTTCACCTTCTTCTTGACAAACCTCTTGTCCGTCTACATCTTCAGATTCGTATTCTTCCTCATCGCTTTCACCATCATGGATAGTCGTGTTAACAAATTTCCTTAGTGGGCAACCGCTGGATATGTGTCCCTCTTTACCACATTGATAGCACTTTGGGCCTTCATTTGCCTTACCCTTGCCTCTAGTTTGCTTCGGAATGGGCTGTTTTGTCTTTGGTGGAGTGGTCTTTTCTTCCACTCTATTAGGTTGGCTCCTAGATGAGCCTTCGGTATGAGGATATGGAGGATATGGAGCCTTAGTTGTCTTTCTCATCCTCACAAACCTCTCGGCCTTTAAGGCTAGAGCTTGTGCTTGATCAACGGACCAGATTTGTTGCATCATCAATCGATCTTGAATAGCATCATTGAGACCATTGATGTACCTTGCAACTTGTTGCTCTTCAGTTTCAGCAAGGTTGCACCTCACTTGTAGCCTTAGAAACTCCTCCGTGTAATCTGAAACAGTCCTATTTCCTTGAGCACAATTTTGAAATTGGATAAATAGGATCTGGTCATAATCAGCGGGCAAAAATCTCCCTTTCAAGAGGCCTTTCATTTGTCGCCAAGTTCTAACACGAGGTTCTCCTCTCAGCCTGCGCTCCTCTTGAACGCGATGCCACCATGCACCGGCTCCTCCTTTCAGCTTGTATGCGACCAAAGGAACTCTACGATCTTCCGGAACCTCCATGACCTCAAAGAAAGTCTCCACTTCATATAACCAATCCAGGCACCCTTCAATGTCAACATTTCCATTAAAACTTGGGATCTCAGCTTTCACCTTGTATGTATCTCTTGCATATGTAGGGTTGGGTGCTCTCCGATATGCGTAGAGATTTGGTTCTTCAAGGGCATCATCATATTCTTCACCTTCAGAAGCCTCAACATAAATTGGCCTTCTTGAAGCACGTTGAACAACATGTTGTCGTGGCGGTCTTGCTCCAAGATTACCTCTCCTTCCTTGATGAACATCTTCCTCTTCTTTAGATGAATCTCCTTCATTGGTAGCAGGGGGGACACCCTTTCTTATCATCTCAACCAGCTGGTCAAATCTCCTATTTAGATCTTCACGCAGCTCTTTGATTTGTTGTTCAGCAGCATCCACCCTCTTCTCCAATTGCTCCATTGCTTGCTGCAACTTGCTCTCGAAGAGGACAGCAAGAACGATTATGGGTCAACGAGGCTCTGATACCACCTGAAGCAGCACAAAGGTTGTGGAGGAGCAACTCCACCTTGCTGCTATAATGTGTACAACACAAGTGTTGAAGGAACAACTTCAACGTGTTGCGCTAGATATCGCTCTAGTGGCGAATGTAGGCTGATAGGGCAGCAAGAGTTCAATCCAGAACTCCTAGGGGGCAAGATCTACTCCAAGATCTTAGATAAGAACAACAAGTTCTATTATGGGTAGGGGTACATAGTCTGGGTCCAAAGTAGAGGTGAGGACCTCTATTTATAGGGCTTTGGGAAGCCTTCACATACTTCTACTTATAGCTAGAATACTCTAGAAACATTATTTAAGGTTCACCATTCTACTCATAGCTACTCACAACTAGAAGACTCTAGAAAACAGTAGGTAGGATAAAGAAAAAAAAAGAAATACTAGACCACAACAGAAGTATCTAGAAGTAGCCAAACAGATTTGACATATGATTATAATTTTCATGTACCTCATCTACTGTTCCTCATCATAATTCAAGTGGAACACTCTTATAGAAAGTAAATACAGTCCACTTAATGACCACTCATTGTATCGTACACTTTACAAAGCATAGATTCAGGAATAACAAAGAAATATAAAATGCTTTCTCATCTTAAACAAATATCATGTTCTGATGTTGTTCGGTATACTAACCAACATTTGAAACGGAGCCTCAAGGTCAGCTTTTGGGGAACGAACATGTTGTACAATTGAATCAAGCAAAGGAGACATGTTTTTTTCACTATCAGGCGGACACTTAGTGAATTTCAAGGAAGCCCACCCTTCTTTAGCTGATGCATAAAGAACTGGGAAATCTAGCTGTTCTTCTGTAATATGCAAAGAAAACAATGTCACTAAAAAAGAAAAGAAAGTTCTAGGGCAAACCAATTTGAATTGCTAGAAATGCACCTGTGGCACCCAGATTTGCAAAAAGATCGAAGACCAAGCTCTCAACTTCGTTGCAGGTTTCTTCAGAAACTGTTGGCGTAGAAGAGTTACAACAAATACAAAGTACAAGGAACATATATGTGCCAAAAAATTAATGTACATGTATACCATCTGCAATTAGCTTCTTTTTTTTTTACCTTGCGGAGAAAACTTACTTTGCTAGCAGGATAAACAGGACTATAAGGACACGCTAGATTCCTTAGTTGTAAGAAAATTTACCAGATCCGACTGTGCCCTTTGTAATACAAAATTTGCTAGATTTCCAATTATGTGGAGTTAACATAAGAAAAGTGATGGTTTGGTAGCCTCATTGTACAGTTAATTAATGACTACTGTATATATTTCTATAGTTTTCTTCCCTTGCCTTCACTAAATTACCGCCACTCTAAGTTGACTTTGCATGCACCTAGCCTCCATTTATGTTTTATCTGTATTATGGCAACTCAACCTATGGACATGCAACTTCATACGGTAACATCCTTGTTTAATGGAACAAACAAGTACAGACTTGGTTGCTCAACAACCAAATGATTCTGCTCTCCGTAAAAAATTGGGTTGTTTTCGTTATTTTGTTCAAACTCAAACACTGCACCCATGAGACGTGGATTACTGTTTAATGGGTGAAATTTCTGGTAATGAGCATACCTGAAGGCCTATCAACCTTGTTGAGGAGGAGGATTGGGCGTAAACCATACTTCAAAGCCTTTGAAAGCACAAATTTAGTTTGTGCTAAAGGTCCCTCCCCAGCATCAACAACCAAGACCGCCCCTTCCACCATTCCAACAACTCGCTCAACCTATAAAAAGGCAATGACCATCTCAAACACCATATCAAAATCGTCATTTCAGTCTTATAAATAAGTATATAATTATACCAAAAGTGCTTACTTCGCCACCAAAATCAGCGTGGCCAGGGGTATCGACCATGTTGAGCTCATTCTCCTTCCAAGAGACAGAAGTGACCTGAACATTTAACCCAAAGGAAACAAGAAATGTCACATACATTGCCACATTATCTAGATCGGAAAACGTTTGTCAACATCTTCCCTGGTATGGCGATGCTTCATTAGGACATTAAAATGGGCCAGATTAGTGCTCTGCTACTTGCGGCCCTCATTGCAACACGCCTAAAGAGTATGTAGAATTGCCAGAGAGTTAATGAGTGGGTAACTGAGCACAGGCTCTGAGCTCTAGCCAGCCAGTTGTTGAACCAGACGTGGCATCCATCCTTCCACTGATTCGGATTCATAGAGAAATGCGCACAAAGTGTCGTGACAGGGCCAACAAAATAGCAAACTGAGTATGGCCTTTGGACCAGATCTCAGTCCTGTGTCTGTGTTCTGACGCGCGCAGTTTGCTCGACAAAATGCCGAGCAGAAATTCCTCGCGCGCAGCCTCAGTAGCCACGCACTAGCCATGCGACCGTGAGAGGGTTACCTTGGAGGAGATGGTGATGCCGCGCTCGCGCTCGAGGCTGATGTTGTCCATGGCGCGCTCGTGGGGGATGTCGGCGCCGCACTGCCGCAGGAGCCGATCCATCAGCGTCGTCTTCCCGTGGTCGACGTGGGCAATCACCGCCACGTTGCGGATGCGGGCCGGGTCGGTGACGCCTCCCAGCGCGGAGGCGGGCGGGCTGGCCGCGGACGCGGCCGCGGAGGAGTAGAGGCGGTGGAGGAGCGAGGAGGCGAAGGGCGGCGGGGCCGAGGCCGGCGAGGGGACGGCGGGGCGCGCCCGGCTCGCCGACGAGCGGAGGCCGCGGAGCAGGAGCGCTGCGGCCATGTCGTTCGTGGCGGCGGCGGGGGAGGGTGGTGCGTGTGCGAGATTTTGCGCGGTCAGGTCGGGTCGAAGCACGCGGCCGGTCGAGGGTTTTGGTCGGGTCTGACGGGCTGACGGGCCCGTGTGCGTGCGGTTCGTTGCACTGGCAAGCCACGACGCCAACGAAACTTTTTTTTTTAACACGGTGCAATCGAAGTCGCTCACATACACAAACATACTAGAAGAACGCCCGTGCGTTGTAACGGTGCCACATTAACTTTAAGAGTTCAATATTATAACATTGGCGACTTTTTTTACCATCAAATCCTCGCACACACACACTCTCCCCCCTCCCTCTTCCTCACTCTCTCTTCCTCTCTCTCTAACACACACATAGCCTATTCTCCCCGCCAATAAGACTTACTCAATTGGCAATAATGTGTGGACTTGTGGTGAGCTTGACTAAACTAATGGATAATGTGATATATTTCCCAATCATTTAACAATGAAATTTCAGAAATGAGAAGATTATGTAACACCTCAAGTCGTTAGCTACAATGACCTCCCCCTAATGATGCCATGTCATCAGACTTGCTAAGCCAAACTGCCACTTGATAAAAATCAAAGCTCAGTTCAAATTTAAAATAAAGTCAAATAAATTATTTTGTCAATATTCTATAATTCCATTGATCTTTGACATGTTGAGCCCAACATTATTTGACCCAAAAATTAAATCTTGTCAAATTAATAAGAGGTCCAACAGTAGTTAAAATAACCAATTCAATATAAACCTAATTTTATGTATTTTCTTTTGGCCCCAAACTTTTTGTGCCACCTAAAAATATTGTGCTCGAATTGTGTGCATAGTTCCATAATTAACAAAATCCATTTAGTTGATATAAGAATAAATAGAAAACAGTGTTAAAAAGGAGAAACGGATTAGAATACATTAAAAACTAAAAGGACGATGAAAAGGGGGATTCCCCCTATCCCGGGCCTTGCCACCGAACCGGCCCAGTGGTCCAGTCCCCGCACGGTCGTCTTCTCCTGTTCCCTGAGTCTGTCGCTACAGAGCCGGGCTCCTGCCCGACCACCTCGCCGGCATCGAAGGGGAATGGATAAGGGTGACGCCCTGCCTCCCCTGCCCCCATGGCCTCACTCCTCCTCGACGCCCCCTCCAGATCCACTTCTCCTCCTCGCTCGCTCGATCCCGGTGATCTGGACGAAGTCAGATGCCACGACCACCATGACCGACCCCGTCCACACGGCCACTGCCCTCCCTGCTGGCTAGGAGCTTGTCGAGGAGCTCTGAATGCCTCGGCTACTTCGTCTGCGCCAACGAGATCAAGTTCAGCACCCCCAGATTGACGTCGTTGCCGTCTTCCTCAACCTTCGGCCACCGCGACATTGCCGTTCGATCCGCGCCGCCCCGAGCTCCCCTGTCTTCTCCTAGGGTGCCATTGACACTGCTGTGATCTCCTCTTGCCTTTCCCCAGTTTCCCCTCTCGTTTGCTCCAGTTAGGTATTTCGCCGTGGCCGAGAACCGCCGTCCGCCATGGCCATTGTAGGGGTAGCCACTGAGCTCCTTGGATTGACCCCATGGCACATGCCCGCTCCTATGCGCGCCCATGCCCGAGACTTCAGCTCTTCTTCCGCGCCCGCGGGGCCACTCCCTCTCTGGCTCTCCATGCCCACGCACGTGTCACACCGCGTCTGTCGCGCCCGCCGTTGCCATCACGCTCGCCACAGCCACCGCACCACTATGCCCCGCACGACGCACACCCTGGCCACGCGTCACACTCTCGATGGCTGCGCTCGCCCCGTCTGTTGCCGCCTATCCCTTCGCTCGCCCCATTGTCGCGCCCTTGCCTCGCGCCGCCTCCTGTTGCGGCCATCTTCTGTTGGTTGCCCCCTCAGCCATGTCAGCCGCGTCTCTTCCCTCCACCGTCGGCCGCTCGCCTCGCCTGCCGCGTGCTTCTTCCTGGTGCTATGCGCTGCTCTACCACTAATACGATGTTGCGCCATGCCCTCGACACTGCCGTGGACAAACGTGGCGGAGGGATTGTCAATGGAGTACGAGGAGGAGGTGGCGGAGAAGGTGTGGAGAGGCAAGAGGTCTAGGGTGGCGTCAGCTGGCTGTGGTGGAGGTGATTATGCGAGAAGGAGCCGCAGCGGAAGGAGAGGTCACAATTGAAAAGAATCGCAAAAAAATCATAACCCGGAGATCTCATTCCAAAAAAATGGTAATATCGATGGAGGGGTGATTTCCTTCAATAGGTGGAAAACATAGGAAATATTGGATGTTATCAAGGAAAGGTAAAAAATTAGGAAAGTTAGGATTTTGAACTGATTTCTATGCAAATCGGGTTTTATTGTTTGATAACATGATATCAGTACCTGCCCGTTTGTGACGTGTCTGGTTAGGAAAGTTTGCAAATGTTAAGAAACTATTTATTGGGAGGAAAGTTTGTGACGTGTTTGTTATTTGTTTCCTAAAACAAATTTCACTAATGAGAGAAATCGATTGATTTAGATAAGTTAGGAAAGTTAGATTCAAATTTATTATTTGTTTCTTAAAAATTTGTTATTTGTTTCCTAAGACAAATTGAATCAATAAAAGGAATCGATTGATATGAATAATTTAAGGAAGTTAGATCCGTGATTTGTTATACATTAGGAAAGTCCTGGTTGTAATAAAGAGTGGCGAGAAAAATAAATCGATGGACCAGGATGGGAGGGGGGTGGGAGGAGAGACGGAAAAAACAGCGAAAATAAACCATAGAGACTATTCACCAACTGCTCCATTAGGAGTAGAGATACTCACCTCTATGAACACACGCTCACCCACTTCTATGATCACCTTCGAGAGACTGGGCCAGCATATCATGTTGGAGACGTCTCGTAGTCAATGAGAACCTTACTCTCATTGAACGAACATCGCCGGAAGTCTGAAATAAATTCAAAAATAATATAAACACCAATGTCAAGTATAGGACTTGAACTCTAACGGGATACCAATGTCAATATCTTTTTTTGTACGCGGCTAGGGGGCACCTAGCCGCCCTAGGATCGCTAACCAGCGCCCATCCAAAAAGGAAACCACTTGGTCCCCCTCCCCCCGAACCGAAAAAGGAACCCACCCGCCCGCCCGCACGAAACCGCTCGAGACTGTCGCTATCGAACATGTAAGCGCCAGAAACCGCTCGCGAGGACAGCTGGCCGCGGGATCACGTGCACCCGCGACCGAACTCACCCTCCTCACGAAACCGCACGAGACCAACTGCCCCCCAGGCCATCTTCTTCTTCCCCACGAAAGAAGGATCTGCCCAAGAGGCAATATCCTTCGTCGCCAGGAGACAAGAACATGGCGAGTTCCCAAGGACAAATAAAATAGAAGAGAAGAGGGCTTAGAAATCAGAAGGAACAACCAGAAAAAAGCAGATCAAGAGAGGAGGAACAAAGGAGAACGTACCTGGAGGGAAAAAAGAGAGGAATCCAGAGGTCAGTAGACTTGCCCATCTTCTTCCTGATTCCTCATGTAGACTTGCCCTTGTACTGATTTCCTTGCACGCATCTTTGATTCATGTATTGATCGTCAAAAATCAAATGAATCGTGTATAGTGTGTTTGCAGGGAAACTGTGCAACCAGTAGGTTACTTTCGTGCAACTAAGCCAGATAAAGTAGCCAACTGAAGATTGTTGTGTGCCAACTCAGTAGATTATGCAACTCTAAAACCTGTTTTGTGCAACTAACCTAGTTGTAGCATCCAACTATATGCACAAGCTATGCAACCGGAAAAAAAGGCATGAATAAACTTGGCTGGAACTTGGCAAATCTGGAAGAAAACAACCAATATATGATGACGCTCGATATACGATATGTTCGGATACAATCTGCAAATATAGGTCTTAAGAAAAAGTTCACACATTGCCTTTACAAATCTGAAACACACTGTCATCAAATTGTTGTTCTAACTATGCAAATCTAACTAAATAGCTATAGACAAGTATAGTTGCAATCTGATTTTGGTTCTATCTTTGAAGTTGTTGTAGCAGACCTTACTTCATATGTTCACTTGTATTGATCTGCAGAAAATCATGTCATCCCCTTCTTATCCGGCCTGCACATTGTAGAAACATAAACAAAAAAGAGATGGTCAATAAAATGTAGCTACCGCCTGAATGTTCTTATATTGTGCAACTACTATGATGCTTGTTGCAACTTTGATACTACTTGTATGCAACTCCTATGCTACATTTTCATCCAGGTTGTATGATAAATTTTGTCAAAAATGTGTTTGTGTGACTGGAATGCTCACAATTTATCCAACTGGTATGGAAAGTTTGTGCAATTCTATGACACTTTTGTGCAAATTTTGTGCTGCCTTTGTGCAACTACTGTCAAAAGGTTGTATCTGGAGAAAAGAAACACACCTAACTATACTTGCTACTTATTTCTAGAATGTGCAAGCTTGAAAAGTTGGAGAAACATAACAATGTGCAAATTCTGAAAATGTGCAACTCCTATGCTACATTTTTATCCAGGTTGTATGATAAAATTTGTCAAAATTGTGTTTGTGTGTCTGGAATGCTCACAATTTGTCAACTGGTATGGAAAATTTGTGCAATTCTATGACACTTTTGTGCAAATATTGTGCTGCCTTTGTGCAACTACTATCAAAAAACTGTATCTAGAGAAAAAAAACACCTAACTATACTTGCTACTTATTCAGAATGTGCAAGCTTGAAAAGTTGGAGAAACATAACAATTGCAAATTCCTTGTTCCTCTATGTAAAAACCTGACTACTTGCAGTTTTCGAAACAATAAAAATAAAAATGAGTCTAACGGTGTTAATTTCGTGACTCATTTTGCTAGCAACTATGACCCAATACAACTGGTTGATGACTTTTTTGTTGAAACAAAATGCAGGTTGGAGCAGCTTTCAAGGATGATAGACCTCAATGCGTTGCCTCCAGATCTCAATGAGTTGCCTAATGATGATGTTGAGTTTGTACAACCATGGATTTTCACACGGCCAAATCAAGATCATGGTTTGATGGATGATGTTGATGTCAACATGCAATCAGAAAGCCATACATTAGAGGAAACAAACACCACAGTTGCAGGACATACTAAAACAGAACTAAGGGCAGGGGATGTTGTTGGTGATCGAAATGCTTTGGAGGAAGATGAGGGTGGTTCTCAGCCAATGGAGCCGTTTGTTGGGATGAGATT